ATCTCCCCATGTGGGGCCCAGCAACGCCGCCACAGTCTCTCAGTCGCACTCCTGAAAGTCCTAAACGCGGGGCCGCATGGCCCGCCCGTGCCCGAAATTGCCCCCGTGGACTGCAGGGCGGAGCGGGCAGGCCCCGTCAGACCAGCCAAAGAAAATCGGGCAACCGTTGGACACGGCCAACATTCTGTTAGACAGATTTGTTTGACAGCAGGCCTCCGCTAGAAAATTCCAGGCTGCCGTGGTCACTCACCCTTCGAGCGCGAGCTGCGGGTCTTCCAGGGTCTCACGGAGGCCGAAGAGACACACCTGGGATAGGCATCGCGAAATACAGAGTGCGAGGCAAACCATCACTCAAAGGCATTCCAGACACTCGCATCGCGGCAAGATTCGGCGTTCGCGAGCAGCGCAAACAACTCCAGGCCCACCGCCTCCAGGCCCAGCACCCGCTCCGCGATGCGAGCAAGTGGCGCAGCCATCTCAGCACCGCGCCCTGCAGCGGCCGCGGCCACGAGGAAGCGGCTGAGGGCGGCCACCTGCTCGGCGCACGCCTGCTCCTCAGCGGCGATGCAGCGGCCAGCGCGGCCAGAGCACATGGGGGGCAGCACGTCCTCGAGCGCAGTCTTCGCCTGGGCCAAGTCGAAAGTTTTAGGCGCGGCCGCCTCGGCCCTGGCCACCTGCGGGGGCGCGTCGGGTGCGCCGCTGGCCCTGGCGCCGGCCTCGGGCGCCCCTGCTACTGTGCCGCGCGAGACGGCATTGGCCTTGAGCGCCCCTGCCGCGGTGCCGAACGAGACCGTCTTGGTTTTCAGCTTGTCCCTGGCCGCCTGCTTCGCGGCCGGGGGCCTGGCGGCGACCGCCTGCGGCGCCTCGAGCTCGTCGCGCTCGAGCCTCCACTCGGCCAGGCGGCGCTCGAGCGCGGCGGCGGACCGCGCATGGGCCGCGAGGTTGGCAGCCTGCGCTGCGTGGCCTCCCAGTTCCGCGCCGCCGGCGCCGCCTCCAGGGAGGGGCGGGCCTCCGCGGCCCCATCTGGCAGGGCCAGGCCTCCAGGGAGGCCCTCGCCGTCGGAGTTGCTCGCGCGCACCCCCCCAGGCGCGCGGCGGGCCCTGGCACGGCGCCCGAGGCCCAGGGCCCAAGAGAGAGGCCGTTGCCGCGCTCCTCAAAAGACGTCTCGGCGGCGACGAGGCCCGCGGAGTCGACGGGGCACGCGACCTCCAAGACGGCCTGCGGGCCCACGATCGCCAGCTCGTTGTGCGCGTCGCCGCCCTCGGCCTCGAACTCGCCCTCGTCATCCGAGGCCTCAGCCGCCAGCGCGCCCATGGCGACCGCCTCGTCGGCAGTGTCGCCCTTCTGGACGTCGGCGTCAACCTCTACGGGATAGGACTGCCTCCTGGACTCGGGAGGCTCCGCCTGCATGCAAATGTCCCTCGCCGCGGCGTCGACGGGGCCGAATGCGGCGCGCTTGAGCTCCCATGCCAGGGACTTGAGGTCCATGACCTCCTGCGCCAGCGAGTCCGCCAGCGCCTGCGCCTCCTTCAACTCAGCCGTGAGCTGGAAGCGCAGTTCCGCCTGCTGCCAGTCCGACGCATCGGGAACGGCGCCATCCGAGCAACCCTGGAACAACTCGAACAACTCGGGGGTCTTCTTCCCCCCCGAGCCCTCCGAATCCGATGCGCCAGCCGAGCGCGCCTGCACCTCGCCAGCCTCGGTGCTCTGCGTGCCCCAGCGCTCCGCCAGCTTGCCATCGAGCCACCGCCGAACACGCTGACCGACATCTTCAGCAAGGCCTGGATGCCGAAGGCGCCGCCGCGGTCGAGGGCACGGGCGTCGCGATCGATGTGGGGCGGGGCCCTATGCCCGCTGTCTCGGTGCGCCGCCGCACCCTTGGCCACGGTGCTGCCACCTACCAGCGCGATGAGCTCGCCCGCCGCTCCCTTGACCTGCTGGGCACACTGGCCGAGGTGGACGCGCGACACGGCGCCAACGCCCTCGGGCACGCCCGCGGGAGCCTGCAACCTGAGCATGAGGTCGGCGGCGTCCGCGGTAGACTCCACGTAAGCCACAGCCGAGCCATGCCGAACGCAGATGCCGCACCGCCGAACGCGGGGCATCGGAAGAAGGGCCCGCGCCTCCGCGAGGGGGGCCAGCCGCAGCCTTGAGCCAAAATGGCTACGGAGCGTTTGCCGTTCTCGTCTGCCGTGCTGTTGTGGTCCGCCGTGCTGCTCAGCCGTGGTCCCATTGTCTTCTTGTAGTATGCTGCGCTGGCCTGCCGTCCAGATGTGGTCTGCCGTGCTGGTCCGCCTTGCTGCTATGATCTGCCGTGCTGGTATGCAGTGCTCCTGTGGTATACCCCGTGCTCTTGTGGTCTGCCGTGGCGTTATGGTATGCCGCGCTGGTCTGCCACGCTGCTGAGGTGTACCGTGCTGGTCTGCCCTGCTGCGTGGGTCTGCCGTGCTGGTCTGCAATGCTCCTGCGGTCTGACGTGCTGGTCTGCCGTGCTGGTGGTCTTGCGCGATGGTCTGCCATGCTGCTGTGGCCCACTTTGCTGGTCTGCCGCGATGCTGTGGTCTGCTGCGTGTTTAGCATGGTCTGCCGTGCTGGAATGGAACGCGGGGCCTTGAAACAAGAAGACGGAGAGAGCACCTTCGCTCTTCTTTCTTGGCAATGGGAGGGGGGCCTTTTGGCCCATTAGGGGAGCTGCCGACAGGCTCCATCCCCCAGCTCCGAAGCACTGCTAAAGGTGAGCGAGGCGCGGCTCCAAGTTGGCGGCCGCAGCCGACCACGATCGACGTCCACCTTCGAGACCGACGAGGTGCGCCCCAATGCAATGGGGAAGGCGCCTGACAGATGCGGCCCAATCACGCGGGGAAGGCACCCGTCGCGCGAAAACCAAGGGGGAACCGCTCATTCAGTGTCGCATTCTGCCTCGAGGGTCTGCGCCGAAATGCTCCCTGGAAACACTGGCGGCAGCCCGATCCCTCCACTCGCGCAGGCTACATTGCCGCAGTCCCCATTGCTTACCGCGCCAAGCGACGCGAAGAGGGAAAGTGCTCGGCGCCGCAGCATTCCAAAGAGTGTCAGCCGACCCCTACAACAGCAGGAGGTTTCTGCGATGCCGAAGTTTGAAGGGGGTTGGGAGACCAAACCAGCAGCTTCGCCTTAGGCGAAGCCCAGCTCCCGCTCTTTTGTACCGCAGTAGCGATAGTCCCAGTAGTAGGAGGCGGGCCATCTCAAACAATATTTTGGTATCGATGGCAAATAGTACACCTTGCGAAGAAGTGTAGCAGATCTGGGCGGCCGGTCGCTTTGAGCCAAGCAGCCGCGGATGCAGGCTCGTTCCCACTCGCATGCAACGCCCAGCTCACTTTAGAGTACCGAATGCTGTCGTTCCCGTTTCTCTGTTGGGCCGATGCCCACAGGGCCGCTCAACATGCTCCGCCTCCACTCGTAGAGCCTTCTGCCAGACTTGACTTGATCATCCGCCACGTCTTCATCATCTAGTACCCCGAACGGTATGATATATGTTACAGATTCAGCCAAGACGTCAAAATCGCTTCTCGATCCTCGGAGACGCTTCCCGTCATCCGCCCAGCATCCCTGGGTTTGAGAACAGGCAACATGTTGTGTATATATATATATATATATATACGTATGTATACATAAGATCCACGCTGAATGCGCTTCCTGTCATCCGCCAAAGTGTTCACTGGTGTGGCCCGCAACCCTGAGTTAAACAAAAAAACGCCTGCTATGTATAAACGGTCAACTCCGGCGCTTCACATCCATCCGCCACAGTGCCACAGTGGCACGAAAGTGTCCCCAGATCCTTTGCTCAACCCCTGAGCCTGTCCTCAATCCAAAGGATTCTGTAAAATGCCCGGACCCCTGGCTCGCAAACCTCTCGAGGCTTGCCGCGTGCTTCCTGGGGTTCGTCGCGCCCTGTTGCGTGACCTGATCGGGCCCAAAAGCGCCCCAAGACGAGCCAAGAGGGCCCCAAGAAGCCCAAGACGGTTTAAGAGGGCCCCGAATCGCCGCATACTTGGTCCAACACGCCCAAGATGGTCTCCACTCGACCGAAAAAAACGCCCAAGACGTTCCAAGGGGCCTCCAAGAGCCTTGGCAAGAGGGCCCCGAGATGCCAAAATCATGTATTAGCCTTAGGTTGGTTGTTTATATGCTGTTGGGCTTCTCCATTTTTCGAGCTTCCGACGCTCCAAGACGTCCCAAGAGGTCTCGAAAACCACCCCAAGACTGCCCCAGAGGTCCCCAAGAGGGCCCCAAAGACGGCCCAAGAGGGCCCAAGAGGCGCCTAATGATGTCCAAGAGGGCCCCAAGACGGCCCCAAGAGGAGCCCGAGAATGGAAACACGAACCGAAAATCCGAGCCTTCCGCCCCAAGAGGCGCCCTGGAGACCCAACGGGCACCCCAAGAGACCCCAAGAGGCCCCCACGAGGCCCCAAGAGGCCCCCCCTTAAAACAGCCCCCAGAGGCTTCAAAACTGCCTCCATGAGGGCCCCCGACAGGCCTCGACGAGATCCCAATAACCATCCAAGAGGCCTCAGGCCCACAACCCAGGCACGCTGGCAGGATTCGGCCGAAGGCCGTTATAGATTGCGAAAATTCTATCATGTTTCCATGACTCGATGGGGTCTGGGGAGGCAGCAACGACGACGGGCGACGACGACATTTTTCGCGGCCCGAAATGCGTACGGAAAACAATGGTGGGATGCCTAACAGCACATGTTGCCCAAAACCGGCAGCGGCCGTTGCTGGGCAGCCGCCTTTTTGTCTCAGGAAGGACAACGTCCGCGGCGACAGCGGGTCCAGTTCAAAAAGGACAGAAGCTGCTGTTAGTTTTCGAGCCCGCTCTTTCCGTGGCCATTTCGGCTCTCAAGAGCGTCGGCGGCGGCTGCGGCGACGGCGACGGCCACTCCGGCAGCCAGCAGCCAACCGAGCTCTCCGAGCTCTCCGAGCTCGGAGACGCCCGCCGCCGCCCCGCGGGGCTCCTCCGGTGCCTGCCGCTGGCCCCCCCCGGCTCGCCGTCGGTCGCCTGTGGGTCGCCCTGGCTCTCGGTCTTCCGCCGGTCCTCTGCGGGCTGTGCGGCGCCCGCCCGGCTAAGACGAGGCGCGACGATCGCTCGGAACGTGCGCCCGCCCTGCACGTCGCCCTGCCTTCCGGCACGCGCACGAGGAGAGCTTCATGGCCCGAGCGAGGCTCCCTCGCCCCCGCGGCCTGTCTGGCCGCCCCGCGCCTCGTCGCGCCCGCCGCCCGTCGTGCCCCACGGTGCTCTGGCGCGGCCCGCCGCTGCTCGACCGCCGTCTGACTCTCCCGCGGCCGCTGACAAGCATGTCTCGGCGGCGAGCCCCAGGGGGAGTCGAGAAGGGGCGGGCTTTCCCAGAAAGGCTCGGCAGGCATCGGACCTTCTGAGGAATTTCCCAGGCCTCCCCAGAGGACAGAGAAAACTTCTCGGTGTGCTTGTCCACCGATGCCCTTCGACGTAGCCGGCACAACGAGGGCCGACACAGGGTTCGCGCTAGCGGCGGAGCCGACCAAGGTAAGCACACGCTCAGGCTAACACACGTCCTGAGGATCATCGAGAGGGCAGGAGAATGACAACATCGGACAGGGATAAATCGGGGATCTCTGCGATCCAGCGGTTCTGAAGAACTGCATCGGGCACCGCGGCCTTCTCAGAGCGTTCCAGAATGGTCTGGACCGCTTTGACTTTCCCTGTCCTAGCCCCGCCAGGGTCTGTGCGGTGCTCGCTCGGCGTCGACAGTGAGGCAGGCCACCGCCGCCGCCGACGTCGACACCGCCGCCGTCCTCGCCGCCATCGTGCTGCCGTCCCAGAGGTCCTGGCGTCGCAGTGGTGCTTCAGGCCCGGCGTCGTCGTCCAATCTCGTGCCCTGGGGCCCTGGCGGATCGATCTGGCTCGAAGAACGGCGCAGAAGGATTGGTTCTAAGGCTCCGGTCGTGTTTTTCTACATGTTGCAATTTTTCGCGACGTCGGCTCTCAGAAGAGGTCCCGATCCTTGTCCCCCTGGCCGCGTTATGATTATGCCGCAGGGCTCGTCCTTGCTCGCCGCCGCCACCGGCCGCCGCCGTCGTGGCCGAAGTCGCAGTCGCCACCGTCGTCGCCGCCGTCGTCGCCGACGCCGACGTAAGCGCCAACTGGCCGTCCTCGTCGCTGTCGCCAGCAGCCGTCTTCGCTGCCGCAGTCGCCGTCGCCGTCGCCGCTTTAGTCGACATCGTCGCCGACGCCGACTCCGTGCGGCCGAGTTCCTCTCAAAGGCGGCCCCCGGGTCCCGAGTTACTCCTTAGGCCAATTTTTCAGGCCGCGCCCAACACCCGCCACGAGAATCCCCAGCGAGGTTAACAAACAAACAAAACGACGTCGGCGGGTTGCCTGCATCGCCGTCGCCGTCGCCGCCATCGCCGCCGACGTCGCAGCCGAGGTCGCCGTCGTTCCGTATCCTCCCCCTCGACCTAAACTTCCGCATTTTCCGCGAAGCAAGTGCTGCGTAGTGGCCGCCCTGCGAAGGCACCTGCGGCGGGAAAGGCTCGGAAAGTGGAGGTCGAGGGCCGACGTCGCAGGTTTTCGTGACGTGGGCCCCCGAGGGTCTCGATCCTTCCCCACAGGCCACCATCTCGCCCCGATCCTTTCTCTGATGGCCGGTGCAGGCGCGGGAAGAGCGGCCGCCGACAATGCCACCGACGTAGAAAAGCCGTTGCCATTGCCTTTCTTCGGGGAACGAACGATGACATGCACATGGTTATAGCCAGAGTCCTGTATCCCCCAACATCGATGTTTGAGCCAATGTGGGTCCTAGGAGTGTTCGCGCGTCCCCCAGCTTCTGATCCGCCTGCGCCTTCGGCGTCGTCGTCTAGCTCTTCGTGATCGTCGTCGTCCTCCCCCGCATCCACGTAATTCTCCTTCTCGCGCTCGCCCCTCCCCTTCCACTAAACCTCCTCCTCCTACTCCTCCTCCTCCTCCTCATCCACTTTTTCTCTTCCTCCCGCTCCTCTTCCTCCTGGTCGCCACCGTCCTCCTGATCCTGCTGGTCCTCCTCCTCCTCGTCCTCCTCCTCCTCCTCCTCCTCCGTCCCCTCCTCCTCCTCCTCCTCCTCCTCCTCCTCCTCCTCCTCATCCTGATCCTGCTGGTCCTCCTCCTTCTCCTCCTCCTCCTCCGTCCCCTCGTCCTCCTCCTCCTCCTCCTCCTCGTTCTCCGTCTGTTCCTGTATATGTTCATATCCCCCTTCCTCACCCCTCAAGCAAATCCGCGGGGTCATGGTCCAAAAACACAGGAGATTTTCCACATGTCTGAAATTCGGCGCCACCCCTTACGCAGATCCGCGGGGCCAGGGTCCAAAAACACAGGGGATTCGGCACATTTCTGAAATTCGGTGCCACCCTTCACGCACATCCATCGCAAGGCGTGGTAACCCAAACTGCGAGAACTCCCTCGGCCCTTTAATCGCAAGGTGTGGTAACCAAGCCCGTAAACCATACACGTCTTACCAATCGCCAGGTGTGGTTAACCCCTCTTGTGATCAGTTGGTTTTGCTGATTGCGAATCGGCTTCGCATGAAGTTTCGATACTGCTTCACGACAGCGCCAAGGCCTCATGACTTAGCTCTTCCATGGCCCATTCTCCGAGAGAGGGGGCCGGCGGCACGGGGCGGAGCCCTTACGGATATATGTACATATGTATAAATGTATATATATATATATATAATCGTTCTCGCCTGCGTCCGCGGCCCGCTGGATCAGCTCGGCACTCGGGTGCTCCGCGCGCGGCTCTTCCAAGGCGGGGCAAACGAAGCGCTGGCGCCGAATGGAGTCTAACGATCGTCCCTCGGGCGAACGGCAAAACGGGCGCATCGGCGACATCTCACACTTCCAATCATGCAGCTCGTGCGCAATCACATGCGAGCGACAGGAAATCCCCCTGACAGTTTGTTTGCCTGAGATGACGAGGCTTCATCCCGGAGCAAAAGGCTTCGACAGGCTCAATCCAGAGCCCCCTTTCCAAAATATCCAGGGCCCTTTGGTGGTCGGAGTCCTTCAGATACTTAGTCACGCTCTAGTGTATATACTTGAATGTGAGATCTCTGACTAGATACTCCTCGACCTGAGTGAACGGCATGCTGGTCAGCACAAGCGGGCCCCCGTTGCGCATGTGGAAGGCACATGGGCCCCTGATCTCCCACTTGGCCCTCTCCATCCAACATGACATGTCCCCGATCGGGCCCCGCGACCTCTTGCCCCAGGATGCCGTTCTGCGCGCCTCAAGGCGCTTCTGGACTACGGGGACCACTTTGGAGAGATCGCCCACAGAAAATCCATCACCCTGGCTATGTCCCGGGGGACATGCTTGCCAAACCTCCTCGGCAATCCCACGCGCGGTGGCCGCCGCATGCTTGATCGGGTCCTTGGGGGGCCCCAAGGCCATGGCCGAATTCGAATCTGCCCCGCAGCTCGTCAAGCCAAGAAAACCTGCAGCCTGGCCCCCTCAGCTTCCGCATCTCCTTCGGCGTCCACCCCGCCAACTCCCCCCCCATGGGTCGTGGCAGGCTTGGCGCCGCATAACCAGATTTTAGCCCGAGCCCGCCTTGGGTTTCTCAGCGATCTCATCTTCCCCGGCCCCCCCCCCTCGCCCACCCTTCATTTCTTGTCGCTTTGGCTCAACGTGCTTTGAGGTCCTTAACTGGAGCGAAGTCGCAGCGCATGTTCGCGATAGATTCGTCACACGTACCTGCGCACCGCCCCAATTCAAGCTTGGCCCTCCTGACAAGCACGGGGCAAGTTGCCGTGGTGGTAACCTGTTCCAATGCGAAATTCCAAATCAACAGCTTCGGGCCGTTCCGTTCATTCAGGCTGAAATCATCTACATGTGCCGCTAGTGCTGGAGTGCAATTCTGCTCGCACTATTCCGCTATCTTAGGTAACACATAGCACTTAAGATCGCGCGTCGCCGTGCCCCTGCCTGATGCGACCCCCCGCCCTGGAGAGACCGCATCTGCCGTCGCCCCTTCAAGACTGAGGAGCCTGTCCGAGGAGCGGGTGCGGAGGGAGAAGCGCAGCGCGTGCAGGGGTAAGCCTTATTCAACGACGGGCCCCAGCAACTTGGCATGCACCACGCGCAGCGCTTACGGTCCGCCAGGAGAGTGAGCGCATGCTTTCGGCGCCCATACTGCCAGGTCGCCTTGCGCAGTCTGGCGCCAGACCGCGTCCGCGCGCCCCCCCCCCCCCCCCCCCCCCCCCCCCTGCTCCATCGAAAAGATGCCGCGGTCTATGATCACGCCCCCCCCCCCTCAAAAAAAAAACAACTACGCTACCGAGGAAACCCACATACTTGATTTAAGTAATATATATATATATATATGCCTGCCGCGGAACTGCTACGCCTGCCGCGCTTTGCGAGCGTGCGACCCCTGCGCGCCCCTCTGGTGTCGAGGAAATCCTACGCCTGCCGCGCTTTGCGAGCGTGCGACGGATAGAGACCGCACCCCCCTGCGCACCCCCCCTGGTGTCGAGGAAATGCTACGTTTGCCGCGCTTTGCGAGCGTGCGACGGGTAGAGACCGCACCCCCTGCGCACCCCCCCTGGCGTGGAGGAAATGCCGCGCCTGCCGCGCTTTGCGAGCGCGCGACGAATAGAGACCGCACCCCCTGCGCACCCCCCTGGCGTGGAGGAAATGCCACGCCTGCCGCGCTGTGCGAGCGTGCGACGGATACAAACCGCACCATCTGCGCACCCCCTCTCGTGTCGATGAACTACCACGCCTGCCGCGCTTTGCGAGCGAGCGCGCGGCGGATGCAGACCGCGCCTGCGCCCCCCCCCCCCCCCCTGGCGTGGAGGAACTGCTACGCCTGCCGTGTTTTTTTCCAGCGTGCGACGGAAACAAACCGCACCAACTGCGCACCCCCTCTCGTGTCGATGAACTACCACGCCTGCCGCGCTTTGCGAGCGTGCGACGGATACAGACCGCACCCCCTGCGCACCCTCCTGGAGTCGAGGAAATGCCACGCCTGCCGCGCTTTGCGAGCGTGCGACGGATACAAACCGCACCAACTGCGCACCCCC